TTTGGTAGTTACAATTGTCAATATATTTTGAAAATGCCATCAAAATGGCATTTATATTCTTAATAATTTTCATATTTTTCTTTGAAAATGCCATTTAGATGGCATTCTCGATTTAGTTTGGCATTCTAATAAAAAAAGTTGCCATCAGTAATGGCGTTCGTCAGATCTGTTCTAGCAGCCGCCGGATTTGTGGCGGTGGCAGCCGGATCTGTGGTGGCAGAGGCTGGATCTGCATAGGTGGTGGTCGATGGTTGGCATAGGCCAGATCTGGCCCGATCTAAGGAGCAGGCGGCTAGATCTACGGTGGCGGCAATCTGATCTGGGTGACGCAGTCCCCATGCTTGAATGATATGCAAATCATTATCCTGAAAAGATATCTTACATGCGACTTGTCCTTCCAGAGTTGCCGAGTATATGCGTTCTCCTCACGAGCTTATATCATTCTAGCCAGAGTCGCCATGTTATCTAATTAAGTTTCTTATACTATATGCATGGTCACACCTTGGACATGCTCTCTTGATAACCTTACCATGACAATCGGGTTAGTGTGTATTCCGTAATTTTCTATTTGCTCAAGTATATAGTCACCACGTACAATCTTCTATCCTTTAGTCCTTGCGTGGTCGGTGGTCACAATGCACGAGCTCTCCTTACACCTTGTGATTGTCCATCCACAATCACCTTGCACATCAACCTTTAACCAATTTTCATTTGTGTTTACCTCATCAAATGTTATCTATGGTCCTAATAATTATACCAGCAGAAGTCCCTCACTTCCTAAGCCAAACAATGCGTTGGCGATGGGGAGTATACAATAGGGGTGGGCACGGTCCGGGTCAATCCGGGTAATTGATAAATTTTCAAGACCCGTCGGTTCCATTTAATGAGTAGGCTCGATTTGGGTATATCAAGTCTCGAAATAGGAACCAGACCTTATCATCCCGTTTAAAACGGGTTAGTTTGGTCCAGGTTCTTGGTTCTTAAAAATATTCCGTTACACTAACAAAATATCTAGTACAGAATAAAAATTTCAAACTAATTAAGTATCAATGTCACCATAATATAGTAAAAATTCAAAATATAAATTTTAAAAAAATTGAATTGTTTTACAAAATGTTGAATAACAAATGTATAAAGTAAATAGCACACAACTTTGAAATGTAAAAAAAAAAAAAGACAACGTCACTGATAAACTAAATCTCAAAATGTAAGTAAAATTAATATGATACAATTAATATGTCACACTTTATTGAGCAAGTGTCTTTGTTAAAAAAAACACGATGCATTTGGAATAAAGAATTAGGAATAATAATTTAGAAGTTTATATGAATGAGAAACTTTTTTTAATAATTAATGAACATAAAATCTTTTGGGTGTTGTTAGTATATTATATTAAATATAACAAATTTTGAAAAAATAACAGGTCGATTCGAGGTACCCGTGTTTTTTTTTTTAAATTCTAATACGCGTACTGTTTCTAACTTTTTTAGGAACCGCCCCATCCCATTTGGGTTTTTCGAAACTAGGGCCCGGCCACAATCCGTATTATCCGGCCTGACACGCGGTTCATGTACCCGTTTGCCCCTAGTATACATACATGGTCATTGTGTCAACGTCCAACGGGGAGCGTACACAGTCGCTATGTCCATTTTTTTGAATGATCTCTTTTTTTTTTCTTTTTTTGAAGTACCCTCTCTGTATTTTAAAAATCGCTACGTTTGATTATGGCACAAAATTTAAGGTGGAATAGTAAGAGTAATGAATAGTACAGAAAAAAGTACGAGAGAAGGTGAAAAGGTAGGAAAGATGGGATAAAATGTAGAAAAAAGTAAGGGTATTGAATATTTTTAAAGTAAAATCTTACCAAAAGGGAAAAGTCTATGAAACTTTTAAATACATCCCAAAAAGAAAAGTGTGAGAATTTTTAAAGAAAAAATGGCACACGTATTACCCCTGTAGTTTTCAAAGACAAAAATAGGATGGGTTTGAGATTTTCCGTAAATGTGACTTAACTCCACGTGACTTGTCAACTGATACAACGCGTCTTCTACTATTCCTCTTCCACAACGCCAGGAAAGGAGACCGTCCAGCGCCACCAAACGCGCGCCGCCGATGTCGGTTGCCCCTCCGACGCCGTCACCTGTGGTCCTCTCAACAACAACAACGCCTCCACGTAATCGTCGCAGTGAAGCCAACACCATTATCTGCCATCATCTCCTCCAGGTTTGATGTCTTCTTCTTCACCTTTCTGTGGGCGAGGACGATGGTGAAGACCGTTAGATCTGGCCTTCCATTGACGATGTGATACAGACAGAGTTGATTGAAGAGGCGTTGACCTAATTGATGGATGGAAGATGCAATTTTCAGATCTAGATCCGGAATTGGGACGGTGGCTAGGATGCAGAGGTGTGGATTGGGGGCTGGAATGGGCTGGTCGGTAGAGCTGTCAAACGACCCAACCCGCCCCAACCCGATCCGACCCGTAACGGGTTATGCTTTATGTGGGTTGGGTTGGGTCGGGCCAACATGTTTAATGACGAGCCAGGATTTCTACAACCCTAAGCCCAACCCACCTAACCCGTGGGTTAAACGGTTTGGCCCGCGGGCCAATGTAAAAAAATACAAAATGATTTTTTGTAAAAGTAATTACCCGGAAGTATATATTTATATTAGCAAGTAGTAACAAAGGAAATATAAGAAATCAAAATACTAAAAATTCAATACTCGTTATGATTAATTAAAAATATTAAATACTAGTTATACGAGAATTTGAAAACTATAAGAGGCTATGCGACAAAAATACTCATTGTATTTAAATTAAGATTTACATAAAACTCTTGATTAATCATTTGCAAATAATGACTACTAATTGTTAAATATTGCATCGAACTTCACAAAAAATATATGTTTCAACATTTTATTTGAATATTTATTATAGAAATAAAAGAAAAATACTTTTTTAATTGTAATTATAATTTTATTGGTAGTAAAAGAACAATATCCTAGATAATAAATTCAAAACTATATTTTTGTATTTTGTCCCGCGGGCCAACCCGTAACCCGGTGGGCCAACCCACTTAAACCCGCAACCCGCGTGGGTTGACCCGTGAAATCCGCGAACTAAATGGGTCAGGAATTCTCAACCCGCGGTGGTGGTGTACGGTTGAGCTTGTGACGGTAGGCCTGTCAATGGGTCGGGTCTAGACCCGAATCCTACCTGGATCCGTCTTTTTTTAATGGGTACGGGTCTGCATTTAATTCTGTTACCCGGACCCGTTATTTAATGAGTCGGGTATGTTATATGTAGTTCTGACCCGTTTAGGACCCGACCCGTTAATATATATATATATATATATATATATAGGGGTGAGATCACATACTAACCTTTCTTCCCATGCTAACCTACAAACTATCAAAAACGGTGCATCTTTACATTATTTGTACTGCATATTGAAGTTCAAAGTGTTGCATATTATTTGTACTGCATATTAAAGTTCAAAGTTTTGCATATTGTTTTTATTGCATATTGAAATTCACAGTGTGCATCTTTACATTATTTGTACTGCATATTGAAGTTCAATGTATTGCATATTATTGAGTTAGTAAGTTAGTATTTGAAGCATGGTTAGTATGTGATCTCTTATCTATATATATATATAGAGAGAGCTCTTCTCATCAGGCCGGCCTGACGGGCTGCCCCGTCCGGCCGAGCCCGTTTGGGCACCTTCCCGGTCGAATTTTTTGATGAAATTTTTTGAGCATGTTCCTCATCAAGTCTAGTTTGTCCATACCAAATTTCAGCTCAAAATTCGATCGGGAAGGTCGTCAAATGATTTTTGCAAGTTAACTGGTCCGGAAAATACATATTCCAGACCAGTTAACATGCAAAAATCATTTGACGACCTTCCCGATCGAATTTTGAGCTGAAATTTGGTATGGATAAACTAGACTTGATGAGGAACATGCTCAAAAAATTTCATCAAAAAATTCCACCGGGAAGGTGCCCAAACGGGCTCGGCCGGACGGGGCAGCCCGTCAGGCCGGCCTGACATGAACATTCCTCTCTATATATATATATATATATATATATATATATATATATATATATATATATATATATATATAGACACACACACATTAGTCTAACATACATATTAGATTAGCTGCCACGCACATTATGATTTAATTTAATAAATCCAGTTGCCCAGATTTATGGGTTTGGTTTTTGTTGTTTTTATTATCACAGGTTCAAAGAGGCTTTTTGATAAAACTTATGTTTTTGCAGTTGCCTAGTGCACCTTATTTGTTACATTAAACTTATGTTTTTGAAGAACTTACGTTTATTCCCCTGTGGCAAAACCAGTGCACCATATGTGTTACATTTTGAATGTGTAGATCTGGAACTTTCATGTTTTAAGTGTTGCTTTTGGTTGAGTAATTACAATTCATGTACCATATTGTTGCCAGAAAAGTACTCGATAGTAAGAGGTCCTCTTTTTTTATTTAAGAAATTAGAATTGGATTTTCGTGAGACGGGTCGGGTCTACCCGACCCGGTTTTGAGACCCAATGGGTATGGGTCCGGAACATTAGTTCTAGACCCGCCGGGTATATGGGTCAGGTCTGGAACCCTATAGAGGCTAACGGGTCCGGGATACTATGTTCCGGCCCAAACCCGACCCGTTGACAGGTCTATGTGACGGCAATCACTGGCCAGAGTTGGCGCCAGTCACTGACGAGGGGCAGCGGCGGTCACTTTGGCGGCAGTCACTTTGGTCGGAGTCTAATACTCGGACGGGACGATTTCTAACTTTTTTGGGAACTACCCTGTCCCGTTTGGGGTTTTCAAAACCAGGAGATGACCCTAATCTGTATTATCCGGCCCGACATGCGGTTCATGTACCGGTTGTCCATGTACCCGTTTGCACCTGGTATACATACATGGTCGCTGTGTTATCAGGGAGCATACACGGTCGCTAATCGCTATGTCCATTTTTATAAATAATACTCAGTACTCTTTATTTATTTCAAGTGACAACTCCGGTACCTTTTAAAAAATGGGGTACATTACCTACTATCCTTTTAATTTAGATTTAAATAATTCAATTGCAACATTCTCATTGGTCCATGTGGACAAAGGTATGGTACCTTATGAGTACCATAAAATCTACCTTTATTTTAGGGTAAATTCTCGAAATAGGACTAAAACAGTTTGAAAATTCCAAAATATGACTGTCATGTTTTTTATTCCCAAAATAGGATCAATTACTGTCACATTTGGAAAATACTGTCAAGTTTGAAGTCTGGTCCAGCAAAAGATGGCAATAATTACTCCTATTTTGGGAATAAAAACATGACATTCCAATTTTAGAATTTTCAAACATTTTTAGTCTTATTTGGAGTAATATGCGTATATTTTATTATTGAACATTTTCTTTTACCAAAATGTACTCGTATAATTTATGACTTCAACTTTACTTTCTTCCTGATAGCTTCGTAGGTGAGGAGTGAGGAACAGACGAACAGTCACCACCACAGCTTCACATCCAGGCCGCACCTCAACGTCAAGCAGGTCACCGTCTTCCTCCGCCCGCCGGTACCCGTCCACGTGACCATCCATTCCACTCGGAGTTCTCTGCCGTCTCCCTTCGTCAGCTTCCGCCGACCGCCGTGAGCAAATGAGATAACTCGATTTCACCGGCATCGACTCCGACTCCGACCACTGAGCTCCTGCAGCCGAACCTCTCACTGCCGCCGCCGTTATATAGCCTGGGCTGCGGCCGCTCTAAGGCGAAGGTGCACCACCGCCATTGCTCGGTTCTCCTCTGTCTCCGGGCACCAGCGCACTCCGGTGACATCACGTATCGTTAGCCGTCTCCGTCTACCTCCTGCGACGTCACTGCCCTGCTCTGGGTGTGGATCCGATCCCGCAGCCGCTGCTGCTAGGGTACGCAAGTAGCCAAGTATGCTCCCTTATCTTTCTCCCCTTTTCCTTTCTTCTTACTTACTGCACTATTTTTCCGTGTGAATTTCCAACTTTGGTTTGATCTAGTCTGATTTGGGATTGAAATAAATTTAAACGAAAACATCCTAAAACTAAATGAAACTTTAATTATCAAAATTGGACTATAAGTCTATAACTTTAAAATTACCTAAATAGGATTAACTTTCCAATTCTACTCTTGCTTTGTTTTAATATAATTCATTAATAATTAAAACACAAATTTAATAACATTAATTTATTTATAATAAAAAAGTAAAAAAAAATAAAAAACACGAAAATACATATTAAATAAAATTGATAAAAAAACACAAAAAAAATAAAAAATTAATAAAATAAAAAATTATATGACAAACAGCCCAAAAAATGTTAAAAATATGCAAGCCTCTTTTGCTGCCTCAACCACCTCCAAGTGCTATCACCTCCAACCGTTGGGAAAAAATGTCAACCTGTGCTAGAAAGTAGAAATGTCATCTTCATGGCAAATTTTGAGAAAATTTTGATATTTTCAAAGAATAAAAATGTCATCATTGAAGGAAAATGACAATTTCTACACAAGATGACATTTTTTTCGCCGATCGAAGGTGGCATTGCTGGGTGATAGCTGAGGCTGTGGGAAAGGCCTTCATATTTTTTTATACTTTTCAATTGTCTTTTCCACATGAATATTACTAAATTAAATTCAAAAGACAAAAATATGACTCATTTTAAAACTTTCCAAAAAAGTGACGTATTTAGTGACTAGTTAGTAAAAAAAAAATTGAGCCATATTGGTAAAAAAAGTCCTGATGAAAAATTGATCAATTTTTTGTGAGTGATAAACTTTTGATCATCGATTTTAGAATTTCTGACATTTCATATTCTAAGTATTGTGAAATTGATATTTTCAGTCTTTTTATTTTGATTTTGTCATCAAAAGTGGAGGTCTAAAAATGTCAACGACCGTGTTTGATAATAACAGTTGTCTGCTTGCTAATAGCCAGTTGAATCAACATATTGATACTAACGGATTCCATTAGCTTTATAACTAACCACTTTCTTTAGCGTTTGAAATAAAATGTTAATAACTTATATGTTTGCGATTAAATGTTAAGACGTAAAATAACCATTAAAGATATAAATTTAAAACTATATATATTTATCTTAAATTTATTTCTTTTATTTTTAATAAGTCTTTGAAAAGGTTTTAAAAATTATATTTACATTTATTTTAAATAACCATGGAGTAGATTTTAAAAAAACTAATAAATAGTCTTATGGAGTATAATTCTCGAGTAGATTTTTTAAATGGAGTAAATTTAAAAAAACTAATAAACAGGCATATTTAAAATATTAATCCTAAAAATATATGCATTTATATGTTTGCACTCGCATTAATGTACATATCTTAAAAAAGATAGTGTTAGTAATTATTTAAAATAAACGTAAACATAATTTGTAAAACTTTTTCCAGACTTATTAAAAATAAAAAGAAATAAAATTAATTTAAATATATACACTTTTAAATTCATTTTTTAACGGTCATTTTACGTCGGAAAAGCTAATTGCAAATTTTAAGTTACTAACATTTTATTTAACCGCTAATGAAAACGGTTAGTTAAAAAAACTAACGGAATCCGCTAATATCAATCTGTCGATTCAAACGGTTATGTGATAACAAACAACTACGAGTAAAAGGACTGCATATGTCAACTTCACAATATTTAGAATATTAAATGCCGGGAATTCTAAAGTCGAAGATCAAAAGTTTATCACTCATAGAAAATTGACCAATTTGTCACTAGGGCTTCTTTTTTTACCAATATGTCTCAAATTGTTTTTTTACCAATATGTCAAATAGCCCCCTTTTCTTTACCAATTTGCTAATTTGGCCTAATGACTTGTCATTCTAAAATAACTATAGTGACTAGTTCACAGTGATTCGTACATAGTGACTAGTCATATATTTGTGTAAAAACATAACTAATCATATTTTTGTGCCAGGAAACTCTATTAATAATATACATGTCATTTTTAAGTGTGTTTTATCTATTTTTATTTATTTTTAAAGTTTTAATTTTTTTTAAACTTTTTAAACTTTTTTAGATGTTGATTATTTTTATATTATTTTAAAATACATACAATGTTTTTATATTTTTTACGACCTTTTTTGTATAATTTACTTTTTTTTATTTCTTGTTTTTATTACAAATTAAAATATTATTATCCTATTAAGTTATGGACTTATGGTAATGGTAAAATAGGAAGATAGAGTATACTTTAGTGTTATTTTGGGAAGATAAATAACGTATCATATTTGTGCATTTAGAGATTATTTTAGTCCTATTTAGGTCATTATCCCTTTTTTTTTGCTTTTTTTTGACTTTTCTTTGTAGCTTGTCCCTTCTTCTGTTTATGTAATCTTGTTTATTATTGCGCCCCAAAATATTTTGTAAATCAACATTGTTTAGTCAATTAATGTTACAGTTAAATCCTTCCTGTAGATAATTAATTCAATTTTAATAAATAAAACTTACATAATCAGAAACTACATTAAAATCTCTATAAAGTTGTAAAATCCAAATTAAAATTTAATTTTTTGTTTGGAAAATCTTTCTAACCTATTATAATATTTGTTCTTTTAAGGTCTACATCCTTGACTTGGATGAGATTCAAACCCGTGACCTCCTTTTTGAGAGTGTCACGGTGATGCCATCAGACAACAAAGTACTTGGAAATGAGGTGGGTAAAATGAATCTAGGGATGTGTTTTCGGATGGGGTCATGTGTTTGGACCCGTTTTCAGAAAGGGTCATGTGTTTCATTCTTTATAAAAGTGGTTCATGTGTTTGAATTCCGTTATCACAAAAGGGTCACGCCGTTAAAAACGTCTGAAAAAGACCGTTAAAAGTAATTCCGATTTTCAAAAGTGCCCGGAAAATTAAAAGAAAAACGCCGAAAGGTGTGCCTCGTCAAGATGACCTCCAAACCACCTTCGCCTTTGGATTTTTCACATCTGTTTGAAATATTTTTAAGAAAACAATCCGTTAATATCACTTTTTCGGTGGATTTTCCGGTGACAAGGGTGGATGAAAACAAAAAAGAAAGATGACCCAGTGATCGTCTTATTGAGGCACACCTTTGGGTATTTTTCTTTTAACTTTTCCGGCACTTTTGAAAATAGGAGTTACTTTTAACGGTCTTTTTCAGACGTTTTTAACGGTGCGACCCTCTTGTGATAACGGAATTCAAACACATGAACTACTTTGATAAAGAATGAAACACACGCCCCTATATGAAAATGGGCCCAACCACAAGTACCTTTGATATCCTAATTAAGTGGATAAAATGAATCTTTTTGAACCCAAAAAAGTCAAATTTGCAATTCAATTTGGGAAGAATGAAGTATTACTTTTGATGATATCATTTCTCTATTGTTGTTTTGAATAGCTGCCACTATTTATGGACATACTAAATTCCACAAACTCTGACGAGTTACTGAACAATGACGGTGAACTAGTGTTGGATAATTCTCCTGTAACGTCACGAGCCGTCCCCGTCAAATCACCAAAATGTCGCAACAGTGGCCCATATCCATTCTTAGATCCGAGCCCTATTTTGTCTTACAAGTCGCGCCTTTCAATTTCAAAATTTCAGAAGTATAAGAAAATTTCTCACCCACATAGATCGTTCGACATCCAGACTCGAAGGATGTAGTAACTGAACCTTCTAAGGGCCACTTTTTCGGGGTGCATATCCTTTCTATAAAATTAGGATTTTATTTTCCCACACACCATGCCATTTGATCATCGCGTTCCTAAATGACCTTTCAATTTCACTTTGTCACCTCCGCTTGATCATCAGTATTTGGTAGCTTTTTTTATCCGGTGTAACACACTTAAGATTGAACCCGCCTCTAGATCTGTTTAAGCATATGTTCCGAGTTGGACAACGTTCGACATCGGATAGTCTGTCCCGAGTGTCTATTCCGTAATCACTTTGACATGTCGAAAGCCACTCATAAATACAAAGGTAATTGGAAAAAAGAATTTGTATATGTGTCGTTCAGATCCCATTGCCTTTTCCATTGTCTTTGAATTGTTAATTTAAGAAGTATTCTATTCAAAACTCCCGATCGATGCATGGTCGGATATGATCCTTGCGGGAGGATCATATAGCCTCTCTGCCTTTACTTCTGAGGACCGCCCAGACATGATCAGACTCCATAGTCTCCCTGCCTTCTCAAGATAACACACACAGACATACCTAGGGAGTGAATAAGGTGAAAAGTGTATATTCAACTGAAAATTGCGAAGTATATTTAATGTTGTAAAAATTATATATTTGGCTTTATAAGTTACTTTAAATGAACTCATAGTTAATTAGAAAAAAAAGTGTCTTAATTGCATTTATAGGTCAATAAATATAAAAATCATACAGTATCAAGTGCTACTAGTTGTTTTTATCGAAGTTTCATACTTATCATACTTCCACAATTTATTACTATGAAATTGTATTTTTCATTTAGGATTGTTGAGCTATACGTTATAATGTGTTTTTTATAAGTTACCTTATTGGTTATATAAGTTAAAAGTTCGCAGTTTTCGGCCAAAGACACACTTCTCACGTGAACTTTTCTTCGCACACACACACACACAAGTAACTAATATGTGTGTGGATTGCAGATATGATGTCACGGTTGGAGATGATTCGAAACTTTGACGAGGGTGGATCCCATGACGTTGACAAGGGGCGCCATGACACGAAGCCAAAGGCTTCTTCTATCATAACAAACAATGGCGTCGCAATTATGTCTTCATCCCCGATGAAACGCAAAGCCTCTGGTACTGCAGCCCGCATCACTCAGAGCATGAGTGATGTTCCTACCACTGGGATGACTACTTGGTTGCGGGGTAACATTGAGTTACCTCCGCTTCTGTCCCAGATGATCCCGATGGGCGAGAAGGAGAAAATTGCAAGACTTGATCACATTGCTTTAGAGAAGAAGAGCCACCATGCCATGGCTGAGGTAATTTTCCCACTTCTCGTTACTTATATTTATGTGATTCATGATAATAACCTTGTCTTTTGTAGCTCCTGTTGTCTATATCTGAGGTGAATCGGAGGAAGGATGATCGCGAGCAAGAGTTGTTGTTACAACTCTCCCAATCTGCGAAGGAGATGGCCTCACTCAAAGATGCACATGCTGTTGAGGTCGCTGTGCTTAAAGCCACGCACACCGTGGAGTTGGCCAATGCCCGTGAACATATCTTGGATGCATACATGAAATCTCCAGAGTTTGTGGCTGATCGGGAAGCTTACATTGACACTCATTTGAGTGAGATTAGCCAACGTTGGTTGTCTACTCCAGAGGGCCGCGAGAAACTCGTCAGGGAGGGTTACCTCTCCTACAAGATCGGGAAATATGCTGCTCAACAAAAAATATACCATATCTTGAAGGATAAGGCTGGTACCTCATGTATTATCGATTGGGGGCTTCCTCCTGAAATGCCTAACCCTGAGAAACTTGTAGCTAAACCTTCCACGGAGGATGTCGCATTTGACAAGTTACCTACCAATGAAGAGCTTGGTGATGCTCCCTCCAAAGAAGACAAAAGGAATCCTTAAGCCGGTGGCATTGAATCACCCCTCTTGCGACCGCTTTCGTGCTTTGGAGCGCCCATGGGATTGAGTGAAATGCGTAGTGTAGATTCAATTTCAAAATTTCTTCCTTTATGAGAACCTGGCTTGTTAAACAAATTTTGAATTTCATAAGATGATAATAATGACGCATTTCTCTCTTTTTTCTTTCATTATTATCACTGTTATTATTAGTACTAGATTTTCCCCTGTACGAAGCACGAAACAAAAAATATTAAAATAAGGTAGTAATTTTTACATCTACAATTTACAATAATAAGAAAGATAGATAAAATTATATTGTACAATACAAACACACACAATTAAGAAATAATCAAAATCATAACTATTTAAAGTTAAAATATATGTAGTATAAAATATGCAATTATACAAATTTTGCAAAGTGTATAGAATATATGCATGTAACATTATCAGAATATAAATATATAAACATGTAAAATATATAAAATATAAAAATATCATGACTTTTCACAAAACTATATATGATACACATTTTGTTCTGTTCAATACTAAAATAAATTTTAATATTTTTGAAACATTGTGTTGAAATGTCTAGATCTTGCATTATAAATGATAATGATGATTATGATTATGATAAAAACACAATAAAAATAAATTTGCCCATATATTCAAGAATTCAAGAGTATCCAAGAATACTTGCACAATACAATTACTTTTTTTATCAGTCTTTTGATTGAAGATAAACAAACTCCAAAATCCAGCCCAACCCAAGTACCCCGTTAAGCACTACCCATTTAATACCCAACAAAATCCAACCCTACTATAATAGTATATAAATCAAATTTACATGTGCCGCTCTCTAATATCCATTTGTTCCAGAAGAGTCATCGGGTAAGTTGGTGCTTTCTGAAACTCATCATCCCTTCTATGTATGTTTGTTCATCCAAATGATTTTCGCCAGTTCAATTGTCTGGTCGACACACATCCTTTCGTTCCTTCATAGTTTGTTAACAGACTCAAACAACGACGGCAACCGGTAATCCAACCACGGGAACACAAATGGGTGTGTGTGTGTGTGTAGGTTTTGGTTCAAATAAGAACATGATCTTAAGAGGAAAATATGAATGAATTTGGACCGTTCGATTTACTTTATGTGAAACTCAATGTGCATTAGATGAAGTTGTAATGTGTATTAGGTGAAATTGAAATGTGCAGCACAAATGGTACAATGTAGTGACATTTTGTGAAGCTAAATTGTGCATTAAGTGAATTGGAAATGTGCACTAGATGAAACAAAAATGTGCATAATAAAAGGTACGATGTGATGTTATTTTTTTTACCTTTTATTCTTCACATTTCGGTTTCACCTAATGCACATGTGAGTTTAAAGTTTTATTCTGCACATTTCAATATCATCTAATGCACATTTCGGTTTCACCAAATGCACAATTCAGTTCCACATAATTCAATCCAACGGTCATGATTCGTTCTCATTTCTCTCCTAAGATCCGTTCCTCTCTCTCTCTCTCTCTCTATATATATATATATATATATATATATATATATATATATATGAAGAAATACGGCCTCTCTTGTCATCATAAAGGAAGGCATTCCGGAACTTCCAAAGCTGCCAAGTAATGTTGTTAGGAATAACAAAATTGAAATCAGTAATGGGGCCCTTGAAGTCATTATACCAACGATCTAGATAATTGTTGAGGTTCCCATGGTTGGGGGGTTGAAAGTCAAAAATATTTTCAAGATAGGTCCAAATACCCTGCTAAAATCACAGTGCAATAAAAAATGATTTATAATATCTTGGTTATGGCAGAAAGGACATTTAAAGGGCATATGAAAACCCATTTGATTAAGATTTTCCTCAAATGGAAGGATTTTATTCTGGAGTCTCCACTTGAAGAAACAAATTTTTTTGGGGGTCTGTTATTCCAGATGTACTTGGCACAGTGGTTCAATTTTTTTGGGCCGAAAAGCATCATATGCGCTATTAAAAGTGAAACTACCTGTTGGATAATTGATACTCATATTGTATAAACATTAGAAATTGAACAAGAATCAAAAGGAGTAATGGAGAAGAAGAAGAAAATGTGCAGGATGAAATAATATTTGTTATGGTTTACGAGCCTCCCATAAGGAATATATATAGGGAAAATCCGGGTCTAGGCCTCTAATATGGGCCTGACAGACCCGGTTACATAAATGGACGGATAGTATAAAAAACTAATCTAGAACATCTTAATAATAATGGCTAATTACCTAACTAAGAGTAAAACATTAGAAAAGTGCAAAAATAGGACCTAGGAGTTCCGTAGGAGCTAAAACATAAAATCTGACATATTTGCCCTTAATGAAACAATATAATACAGAGTAATACTCAGTGAAAGAATACAAATGAAGCGGACGCCAGGATCCTAGACTGTGACGGGACCACTCCGACACTGGTAGCACCATCAGCCACCACATCTATCATGGCCGCCGCCGCATCTCACATCGCCGCCGCCGCCGGATCTCACATCGCCGCCGCCGCCGGATCTCACATCGCCGCCGCCGCCGCATCTCACATCACCGCCGCATCTCACATCGCCGCCGCCTCATTCGCCTTTGTTGCCACTGCACGAATCTATTGCCGCCGCCACCTCTTTTAACATGTAGATCTCCTGCGTCTGCTATTGCCGGCCACCGCCTCTTTCTAGCATCACTGCCAACCTTCATACAAAATTGCCATCTTCATACAGTTTTGCCATCTTGATATTTTAACATAGAGATATTACCGAAAATGGGACTAAAAAAGTTTGAAAATTACATAATAGGACTTCCATGTTTTTATTCCCAAAATAGGACTAATTACTGCCATGTTTTGGCAGTACCAGACTTCAAACATGGCAGTATTTTCCAAATTTGGCAGTAATTAGTCCTATTTTGGGAATAAAAACATGACAATCCTATTTTGGAATTTTTGAACTTTTTTAGTCCCATTTCGGTAACTTTCCCTTTAACATATGAAAATTTGAAAATATGGCATTTTGTTTAAAAACATGACACTTAAAAAAAATAACATTTGAAGATTAAAACATGACATTAGAAACAATATTGTTATCTTGATGTAGGTAGTGCCATAAAATTGAATAGAAAAACATGGCATTTGTGAATAGAAAAAACCTGACATGGAAGTTGGTATTAACTTGTAAAAATGGCATTTGTGAGTAAACATGGCAAATTGTAAACATGACATTTGTGAGTAAATATGATTTTATGGCACTTTCATATATAAAATGAATAGTAATAGCAATTATTATGTATTAAATAAATTATTAAAATTATTTGGAGAAGAAACATGAAATCGAACAATTCCAGATCACCATGGAAGCCTTAATTTTGTATCTCAATTTCTCAGATCTAAAACATATTTGGTCAATTTCTAATCTGAAAAATGACAAAATCATTGATTGAAATAAAAAAAATAGAAGAAGATGAAAACAGAGCACGAAGGAAAATGAAGAGGAGTAGGAAAGAAGAAGAAAAAGAAAAAAGTGGAGAAGAAGAAGTAGAAGAAGAAGAGGGGAAGGAGTTACCTGCTCCGGCGACCGTGGAGGCAAATCCGGCGAAGAGAAGCGGTGGTGGAGTTGAAACTGGGCAGCGGCTAACGATGAAGATGGTGAGGTTGTAGAGTTTAGTCGCAGAGAGAGAAGATCGGCGTTGAAACTGCCAAACTGGGTTGCGCCAATTGATTTAGGGCCACAGGTTTAATCGACAGGAAGGGTATATAAGTAATAGTTGATACTATTTGGGGAATAAAAAACTTAAACTCCTATTTAGGAATTCCTACCATGTTTTACTCCTAATAGAGTCAATTTCTTTAATAATAATAATGTACAATAATATGAATCCGCTAAACGTGTGTGGGCCGCTGTCAAGGCCTAGTAGTCGGCAGACTGGGGGATCGGAGTCCATATACTCCATCAGGAGTCCCCCACTCCTTGAGTCGAGAGTACTCGAGGCGAAAGGAAGTAGTCCAAACTGTAGCTGCAACGTTCTTCTGTCTTTGGTTTCTTCCTCTTCGGCCGGGGGACCACCACCCTTGTCAATGATGGGGAGGTGCCTCGTTAAAAACCTTTACTAAGAAAAAACCCAGTGGGAAAAAATCCTAATAAAGGGAAAAAGAGTACACCTAGCGCCCCCAACATAAAACAAGGAAGGTAAGTCTCCTCCGGCATAATCAATCTAGCTCAACTCATCTTCAACCGACTCAGCTCTCGTTCCTGCTCATGTGTGATATTTTCTGCTCTTCTAGAAACTCTGACCCCTCAGTCCCCCAGTCCCCACTCTTTAAGGCGAGTGGAGACAAGGTGAAAATGAGTAAAGTCATCTCTGTACCTACACATTTATCATACATATAAAATCTTTTTCTTGGGATTTATGTTTCCTATCAGGAGTTCGTTATTCGAAACAAGTGGAGATGTGAATTGTTAATGTAATGATTAAATACTTAGTAGAATGGATGTGTGAGCCATTCGTAAGCAACGGTCGCCACTCAAGCAATGGTCGGGGCTTTGTGCCTGAGGAGTCAGGGCTTTGTGCATGAGGAGTCAGGGCTTTGTGCCTGAGGAGTCAGGGCTTTAAATCCTAGTGATGGGTCTCAAGCCACACTCTACTAGGCATTTGATCATAAGTGCGTGGTAGTGTGACATTTAAACGACAAAAAATATTGATTAAAATAAATATAAATAATATTAAAATTAAAGATACTTATCTTTTTTATGTGGGCTGAACTTGAAGTGTTGTTAAAATTGTGGCCCATCAACATTGGTTAGTTTCACTTTCTGGACCGAAGCAGTCCTGGCCCCAATTTTTGGGCTGAAGCAGTCATGGCCCCACGTTTTGACCTGATCTGGGTCTGGCTTTCTGCTCGACAGATATCGACTGACCAAGCCGCGCCTTTACTCGTACCAGGTTGTGGGAAGAACACCAGCCGCGTTTCGCTCGCCCTTGAGCATTGCGGCCTCAAAATGGAAGAAGGGCTGCGACTTCAGGCAGCGGTCAGCCGGCAGTCCGAACTTCGAGCTTTAAGGTTGCCATTAATGGTGGACCTCCGAGGTCGAGCTCCAGCAACCGAAGCAAGTGACCATGAAGATGATCTTCGTGGACCTGGATCCGAACTTCGAGCTGCGGTAGCGAAACAGAGCCGTGGCGGGGCGGCGGGGAGCTGGGTGGCGCTGCGACGGAGGTAGAGAGGCGACCTGTTGGC